GCTGAAAATTCAGCATTGCATCACAGGAATAAATTACATTTTTAAAAGTATTCAAAAAGAAAGCAGGTATTTTAAAGTACAATAATATTTCACTGTTTTTACTGTATTTTTAATCAAATCAATGTAGCCCTGGTGAGCATAACAACATACAAACCCCAAATCTTTTGAATGGTAATGTATTCTAAACATATTCCATTGATTTCTTCAGCATTCCCTCTTGATTTCAAACTGACTGGGATCTTTCGATACCTTCAACATGATTCTCATTGATATTCATCAACTACTAAAAAATAAACTGTATTTGCTTTATATGATAGTCAAAAGTCTGCACGAGACTGTTCAGATTACGTGAAGCTTGACCGTGGTTCACCCTGTCTCGTGTGTGTTTGTGTCAGTAATATACTGCAGGAGGAAGGCTTGACACGCTCTCATAAATTACCCAATTACAGCAATCATGCTGAGCGAAAAAAGAAAAGGACAGATGAAAAAGAGTGTGGAAAAGAAAAGAGCAGATGGTGGCATCGTTCTGGTCCTCCTGCGAAAGCCACCGGTCACTCCTTCCTTCATAGACTCAATGAAAAGGTGCTGAAGATGAATTACGGTGTGTGTGTGTGTGTGTGTGTGTGGTCTCGGGACTCTTCGGTAATTGTGGGTTGTCCGTGAAAGAGAAGCCCTCACGACTCTCATCTGGTTTCTGTCTGAAAGAAGAACTGATTGTCGGAGATGAAAGCTTTTGTTAAGCAGTTTTATGCCCCACTTACACTCACTCATAGACAAACGGTTTCCTAACACCCGTTAAAATCACGCAAGTCTGTTTTGCTTTACAGACAGGTATTGTGGTTTTTGTAAGTAGTCTGTTCCTCATAAAGTGCCCGAATAAATGTCAAATGTTAAATCATAAACAGCTTCTGTTTCGCCTCATGCTCATGTGGAGTCGCCTGTGCATTTAATTTCATTGAAGGCACGAGGCACGTCTAACACCCAAGACGTCTAATGCTCCTTTGTATCATTAATCATTTTTGCTCAGACAAGATGACTTTTTCACTGGAGAAAGCGATATTATGGACAGAGGACTCGTATTTTAAAAGCAACAGTTTGAAGTCTTAATGATGGATTTGTTTCTTATAAACACGCAGATTTTCACTTCACAAGATGTTAATTGATGAGCTGGAGTGGTGTGGATTACATGTGATGTTTTTTAATCAGCTGTTTAGACTATCGTTCTGACGGCACCCATACACTGCAGAGGATCCATTGGTGAGCAACTGATGTAAAGCTGAATTTCTCCAAATCTGTTCTGATGAAGGACCAAACTCATCTACATCTTGGATGTCCAATCTTGGATTTTTGGGTGGACTATTCTATCTGGTTGCTTAGAAAAGTAATAGCGCACTTCATTTCAACAAGCTGCATGGTTTGAGGCATCAATCATGACCGTAGCACAAACAATGCACAAACAACACTGAAGTTTACTACCTAGGGTTGGTGATTTGTTTAAATCCCTAACCTCAAATGTGAGCAGCAGTAATTGTGATGTTTGTCTTTGCAGCGCCACTGTACTGTTTATAAAAACGAGTACGATGTGGCCTCTTTCAAGTAATGTGTTTGACAATGTTCTTTGTTTTATGTGTGCGGTGGATTAACATCGTGTCTGTGTGTGCGCGGTGTGCTAATGGACTAATAGAGTCGCTCGTCTCTCTCTAATGCCATTGAGATTCATTTCTGCCTTATGAATTGAAACCCTCAAAAGGCCACTACTAATTTCAAAACTTTTCACCAAAGGCATCTCAAATTCTTTCAATTAGTTTTTCATCTCTTTTATTTCCGTCATCCTGAGGGATGTCTTAATTACATTATTCATTGTTTCATCTCATTTAAGTGATAATGCATGTATTGTTGGAGGCCTGTTGAAAGCAGAAGAAGGGATAATTGAGAAAGGTCTCAAACAAATCCTTTGAGGCAAAACGCTCATCATCACTGTGATTGAAACGGTTCAGATTTTTAGGTTTTAATGATGAAATTCTTCATTACTTTAGTGTCTTATAGTGACTTTAGCTTTTGATGGCATGTCCATGGATTGCCTGAGTAATATTTTTACGCAAATATTATTCAAAACTCCAAATCCAATTGGTTGGCTCTTTTTGTTTGAGTTAGTAGGAAGGAAATGAGGCTTTCTTGAGTGCAAATGTATATTCTGTTTTGTTTAAGTTATATTGTTGAAATTATGTGTTTGAAAGGATTAATATTCCCTACACTACTGTTCAAATGTTTCTGTTTCTAAATTTCTATTTAGATTTTTATTTCTGTTTACACATTATTGTATAGTTTCAGCATTCGACTAGATGTAGTAAATGAACTAAAACAGACATAAAATGTATAAAAATATAGAAATACAAAAAAAATCAAGAAATAATAAAAATGACAGAAATACAAAAAAATGAAAATGGGAAAAAAATAAACATAAAATTAAATTCAAAATATTAA